CCGGCCGCGGCCCCCGCGCAAGCGACGCCGGGAAATGCCCACATCCGGGAACCCCGCGGCCGAGCGCTGCGGCGGCGACACGGAGCGGAAGGCAAGATGGCGGCGGCGGCGGCCTGGTGCTGAGGGGCAAGCCAGGTCCCCGCGACCCCCGCGAAGGGCCGCGCTGGTCGGCAGCAGCTCCCCCGGCGCCTCTCCTCGCGCTGCCCCGCCAGAGATCCTTGGGGAGTCGGGGGGGGTGGTCCCCGGGCCGGGCCCCGGCCGCCTCGGCGCCCGCCCTCGGGCCCGTCCGGGAGCTCCGCTCGCCCCTGCAGGTAGGTCCTCGGCGGGCATAGCGGCTGGGGTGGGGCCCACGGCTCACCCGCCCTCTGCTCGCGAGCCGGACCCGGCGGGCGGTGTTGACGGGGGACCACTGGCCGCTGCGGGCGGGCGAGCGGGGCCGGCTCGGCCCGGGCCTGTCTGGGCTGAAAGCACCGGCCTGAGCCGAGCCCTTCCCTGGGGAAGCGGAGCTGGCCGCGCTCGGCGCCCCGGGGTGCAGCGTGGGTTCCCGGAGCCAGCTCGCCAGCGGCCCGGGGCGCCTGCCCTCCGCCACCCCGCCCCCAGCTCGCAGGTCCACGGGGGACACAGGGTCGGTGGGGTCTGCAGGGGACGCGGGGTTCACGGGGGACACAGGGTCGGTGGGGTCTGCGGGGTCCACGGGGGACACAGGGTCGGTGGGGTCTGCAGGGTCCACGGGGGACACAGGCTCCGCGCCGGACACAGGATCCGCGCGGGACACAGGGTCCGTGGGGTCTGCGGGGGACGCGGGGTCCGCGGGGGACGCGAGGCGAAGGTGTCTCCGCAGGGACCCCGCGAGCGGCGCATCCGGGAAGCCCCGATCGGTGGGTAGAGAAAGATCCCGGGGACCCCGGTACCGTAAGGTCGGTAACTGCTGACAGTAGGTCGAGGTGGGAGAGACGCAGGCGTCCTCGAGAAGGAGGACTCAGTACCCAAGATGAACCTAAGAGTGTAAAGCGACCCGCTGTAGACTTGAACTTCGAAAAGAATTCGTAGAGCTCAGGCAATGACTTGATTCAACGGCTTTCTCTGTCTTCGCCTATTGAAAGTCAGTGTGTAAGAGAACAAGTGTAATGTTTGTCTACCGCCTGTCATCACCTCGAAGTTGTTCACAAATCTAGCTAGCTGAAAAGTATGATTTCACAGAAATCATAGGGTCTCACTCCAGCTCTGGAGATGGGTGTGAGGGCTTCGGATCAGGAAGCTTGGCAAGCCTTTCTCGTTTATTTATGAAGATTAAAAATGCTTATCGGTTGTCATCCAGTCTGTAGGAAAAGTGGAGAATTGTAATAGGAATGAGTATTTGCGAAGGTAGTTGTCTTAATGAAGGATAATTAATTCAGGGTTTTTTTCTGTAATAAATTGAGGGAGCTCTGAAATATGTAGTCTGTAGCAGATTACACTGCTCTAACTCCAAGAACCTCTTTGCTGATTTGAACCCACCAGAGGAAAATGGACATTCTCCTCCCATGTGATTTACAGCTTGGGAAAGTCCATGGAGGGTCAGCTCTGAGTTGGTTGGCTCCTACTGGATGACAGTGAGAGAGACATTAAGTTGACAGACTGGTAAAATGGCCTCGTTGATTCCCTAAGGTAGCGGAAGAATGTGACTGATTGAACTGTTAAAGAAGTAGCATTGTGTTCTGCTGATGAGCTACCAGTGTTAGAAACTAGATCGTGACAACATTGTGGAGAAGGCACGTTCTTTTCTCTGCTTTAATATTGATTGACCGCTTGGTGGGAAAAGCGAATTGGAGGACTGCTGCTGTGATTTTGGGAAGATAACTGGATTTCTTCTGTTGTTTTATTTTTCTAGTTCAGCGCTTGTTGCTTCTTACTCTATAGAAAGAGTCTTGGAGCAAACTCTGGTTGTTTAGTTAACAGTTTGGCTGTTACGTTTAGACTAGTAGAGGGTTTTTGTAGACCTCAAAAAGTTATTTCATCATTATTTGATGTTTGAGTGCTTGTCGTTCATGAGCATGGTCTTTACCCTTGACATTCCTGTGATCTGGCCTCACTTTATGCCTGTTACTATATGGCGTTTTGGGTGCTAATTTATGTGTACACAACATTTCATCATAGCACAGTCTTTTTGAAGACATTTTTAATCTGGATTTAGCCATATGAGATACTACCAAAGAAAGGAATACAATTGTAATAACAAGGGAGCTCGGTGAGTAAGCTGCTGCTTTACAGTTCCAGAGACACATGGTTCTGTCCACCAGCTGCTCATAGAAAAAGGATGAGTAGTCTCCTCCTGTGTGATTTGCTGCCTCTGAAAACTTGCTGGAGGGTCAACTGTGAATTGGTTCTGACTCCCTGGCACACAATGACAACAACCATCTCTCAGTTTGTGGTGCTGTGGTGGCTTGCATGTTGTGATGTTGGAATCTTGCCACAGATTTTTCAGTACCAACAGGTCACTTATGGTGGCCAGGTTTCAGCAGAGCTTCCTGAGACAGACAAGAAAGGAGAATATGGTCGTCTGTTTCTGAAAGTTAATCCTTGAAAACCCCATACAATCATGGAATGTTGTCTGAGACTTAGACCTACTTGCTTTAGACACATCATTTAGAGAAATGAAGTGGTCAAACGAGGCCCGGTGAAGTACATAGGCAGCCCTCATGAAATGACTGGACACCAGAGCCAGAAAAGTGGCCTCTAACACATTCACAGTCATGGAGGCGGTACAGGGCCAGGTGAGGTTATGTACTGTGTATAATTGCCATGAGGCACATGTAGTGGCAACCAGCAGCAACAACTTAAAGTTAAGATAGGCTTCTGCTCTGTTTTGGTGTGGGTAAGTTGTGTTTAATGTGAACCTAAAACACAACTAAACCTGTTGCCTTGAGTTGATTCCAACTCCTAGTGACCCTATTGGACAGGTTTCCCAGGATGTTCATCTTCGTGGAAGACCACTTGATTTCTCTCTTCTCTCTCCCAGGGAACAGCTGGTAGTTTTAGACAGCCACCTTTTTCGTTTCCAGCCTATACTTAATCCGTTGTGCCTCCCACACAACACCTCATTGCTGTCAAGTGTGATCCAGTTCCTAGCTGACTTTCCGGCAGGTTTTTAGAGGCTATAAATCACACAAGAGGAGATGGCCCATTTCTCCCAAGGAGCCACTGGTGGATCGAAACCACTATGGCTCCTTAGTATTGACTCCAGGGCACGCTTAATTTTAGAAATATTAAAATGTGAAAGAGTAAGCATCTTACTGTCAAGAAAATATTAATGAAAAGTTCTTCTTAGTACAGTGCTATTTTTTGTAAGCGATTTGTGCCCTAAGTAAAGGTTGCAACTAGAGTCATAGGTTTTGTATTTGTTATGCCCTGTAGCCTCTCTGTCAGGTCTAAATATGGCTCTTTTGATCTAGTCAGAAGAGTTATCTGGAAGTTACCTGCCCTAAAGGATAAACACACATCTTAATTTTCTTATTTTTTTCCACTTTCAGTTTTTTACCACCGTGTCCAATAGTGGAGCAAACCCAGGAGAGCTGTAATAAGCACTGCTGTTGGGGTTGTATCCTTTCTCCTACCTATTCAGTCTGAATTTTGAACAAATAATTAAAGAAGCTAGACTATATGAAGAAGAATATGCTACCAGGATTAGAGGAAGGCTTAAAAACTTGTCTTATACAGATGACACAGCCTTTACAGGCAGTAAGACTCGGTGCACCTACTGTGTCAAGAGTGAAAAAATCCTGTCTTCAGTATGGATCACATCTCAACATCAAGCAAACAGAAATTGTCACTGTTAGACCAAAAGGCAAAATCATGATAGATGGGGAAATGATTGAAGTTGGCAGTGATTTGATTTTATTTGGATCCAAGGTCAACATCCATGGTAGTAGCAGTCAAGAAATCAAAAGACTGTGTTGGGGAAATCTGCTGTTAAGTACTTTCCCAAAATGCTGAAGAGCAAGGATGTCAGTTTAGAGACTAAAGTGCACCAGACCCAAGCAATGGTATTTCCATATGCACTTTAAAAAAAAAAAATTTTAAAAAATTTTTATTTATTTTGTGTGTGTGTGTGTGTGTACCATCAAATCAGATCTCACTGGTACAGGAGGAGATTGCCCCTTCTTCTCCGGCAGAGTATCTGGTGGACTCGAACCGCATATCTCTGGGATTGCAGTGCAGCTTCTCACCACTAGGCCACAAGAGCTCCTCTGGTATTTTCATATACTTTTGCACCTGAAAGTTAGCCAGTGAGTAAAGATGACAGAAGAAGAAACTATCCTTTGAATTGTAGTGTTGATGAAGAATACTGTATATCCCGTGGCCTGCCAAAAGAACAAATGAATCTGTATTAAAGGAAATGCAACCAGGGTGCTTTTTAAAGGCAAAGCTGATGGAACGTCATCTCACATACTTTGGACATGTTGTCAGAAGTGGCCAGTCCTTGGGAAAACAATCATGCTGGGAAAGGTGGAGGGTCAGAGAACGAGAGGCCCCCAACCGGATGAATTGACACAGCAACTGTAACAAAGGGCTTGATGATGTCCAAAATCGTGAGGACGATACAAGATAGGGCAAGATATGTAGAGTCACTGTTCAAAGGGTCACTGTAAGTTGTTAGTGTATCTGGTGGCACCTACAGCAACAATAACTTTGGAAAAGAATGCACCTCTGGTCCCATCCACAGGAAGTTGCACTGCTCACCCAAAGGCGACACCTCTCTGGGATTTCAGAGCCACATCTCCTCTGGAGAGAAAGATGAGCACTTTCCTCCTTTTCACTTCACAGTTTCTTCAAAACCCTCTGAAGGATCAGCTATTGAGTTGATTTTGATTTGATGGCAGTGAATTGAATTGAGATGATGAGAAAAGAGGAAGAATGAGAGTCTTAGTCACAAGCAGTCTTCATTATTCACTGTCCAATTTTCCCATGTGTGTTATTGTTGTTATGTGCTGTTGAGTGGAAACAACTCATAACTGACCGTCCAGTAGGTTTTCAGAGGCTGTAAATTACACAGGAGGAGAATGTCTTTCTCCTGTGGAGCATCTGGCAGATTTGAAGAGTTTGTCTGGCATCCCCACTTCTCACTGCTAAGCCACTAGAGCTTTTTCAGGTGCACATTTAATCTTTAAACTGACATCTTTGTTCCTTAGAACTTTGGATAAGTCCTTGATGGCAGATTTCTCCAGAGAGTAAGGAAAAGTGAAGAAGAATTGATTCATTTGAATTTTGGTGTTCGAGAAGAATATTGAATATATCATGGAATACCAAATGATCATATATCTTGAAGAAAGTGCAACTGGAGTGCTCCTTAGAGGCAAGAGTGGTGAAACTGTGTCTCACTTTGGGAATATTTTCAAGAGGAATCTTAGAGATAGGTATCATGATAGGAAAGATAGACAGTGGTTGGAGCAGAGGAAGAGCCTCAACAACATAGAGAAATGTGGTGATTACTACAGTGGACTCGAACGTGACAGAGATCTTGAGGACATGTTGGGTAGGGCAGCGTTCAGATCTGTTGTTCATGAGGTCACCTTGATGACACCTAACAGCCGCCGCCATAAGCAGGTCTAATGGATGCAACTTGTCCTAGAGAGAAGGATCATTCAGTTATATATTTTTTTATCATTCTGGGCCGTTATGTTCTGTGGCCCTCCAAGACATTTCTGAGAAATCCTTTTTCTGTTAGCATCCTTGGTCACGTGTTAAGTATGAGCACTGGAGCAGAATATTCATGTGTGGATCTTTTACAATCAGGGTGCTACTCATACTTTGTTTTTCACAAATAGTACCTTCAGAGTTGGTAGGCTACCCTTTTGCCTATTCCAGTTTCCTTGCCTTGTGGCTTCATCACTTCGTCTCTGCCTCTCTGGTTGCACTGTCTCTTCTGTATGCATCAGATACCTCTCTGTATGTGTTTAATAAGAATGTTTAACTCTCCATACTTTCCCCCTGTGTCTTTAGAAACACATACATAGAAGCTGAGGTTTTGATTTTGAGTTTTACGAAGAATAAATTTTTCCTCCTGAAGCTTTTATTTTCTTAAACTATTGTTCATCATGGATACTTACCAAGCTGATTCCTTTAACTGTTGTTGTTATGTACCTGCCCACTCATAGCTGAACCTCCAGCAGGTTTTCAGAAGTAATTTACACAGGAATTGATTGCCTATATTTTTTCTGAAGAGCAGCTAGTGAATTCAAATTGTATGTCTTTGGAATGGCAGCACAGCTCTTTACCACTCAGCTACCAAGGCTGCTCAATAAGGACATTTGTGCTTGTATTTATACCCTAACTGGGTAGTCCAGCCTAGTCTACCATTTAAGTGCCTTAATTTAATCACATCTGCAAAACTTTTTCCCAAATAAAGTAGCTTTTACACGTTTCAGATATATATATCCTCTTAGGGGAGGATACCTTTATTCGGCCTACTGCAGTATTCTGTTGAGAGAGAAATGAGAGACTTCTATTTTGTAACTTTATATTTTAATTTTTCAATAAGGATATGTCTTCATATTTGTATATGTTGCTTAATGTCCACACTACATTATGTGAAGAAGGGTATTACGTGATTTGGGCCTTGTGTGAACACCATATTAAGTGGGAGCCCACTTCTGATCATTGCTACCACTGCTAACAGTGGAGAGAGGAATAGGGTAGGGCAGTGTGGGGATTGGAGAGGAAAAAAAGCAGAGTAGATGGATGTGTGCATTCTCGCCAATATGTTCTGCCACCCAGCGAAGTAGGAACAGCCTTGGCTCCCAGACCCTCATAGCTGTTGTCAGCCTACCTGCTGGACATAACCCAGAGTCAGGTCCTTTGTCTCATTTGCCTGTATACCACCAGTGGTCCACTGCTGCACAGATCTAGACTTAAGTCTTTAAAATCATTAGAGGGAAATAATAAGAGTTATTTTCCACCCTATCCCCTTTTCTCCTAAACCCTCTTGAGATCATGGACTTTTAGGATTTGACATTGTCTGAATGGATGTTAAGCATATTAAACATATAATCATATTAACCATATATTCTCTAGTGAAAAAACCAGACTAAAAAACTTCCTTATTGCCATACAGTGGGAACTGACTCATAGCTGACCCTTCAGGGAGTTTCAGAGGCTGTAAATTGCGTGGGGGCAGATTACCCATCATTCTTCTCAGAGTGAAAAGAAAGGCTGAATCACTTTGAATTTTTTAAATTTTATTTTTTTAATGTTTTTAAAATTTTAATATTTTTTTGATAATTTTAATGAACATTTACAAAGATTTTGGATTTCCATTCATTCATTGCTGCATTTCTCTCCCTGCCCATCCCCCATGCCCCCCCTTTCTCTCCTCTCTTTGAAAAGTAAAAGAAACACTCCCTCCATTCCACTATGCAACCTTAATTGTGGACTCTTGTGGTAACCATAATACCCTATCATAATCGCTTTTAAATTATTCTCTCCCTCATCTGTTTCAATGTTGTTGTTATGTGCCATCGAGTCATTTGCAACTCATAGCGACCCTATGTACAACAGCCCTAAACCCTGCTCTATCCTGTGCCAGTCGCATTGCCTCTGACACACCCATCCCGATTACCCCAGTCACTGAATCAATCCATCTCATAGAGGGTCTTCCCCTCCTGTGCTGTCCCTCCACCCT